TCCCGATTTGGAAGTTGCACCGATGCAACTACCATAAAAGGAAGTTGCATCGGTTATTCCTCTGCAGAACGCCCGGTTAAGATTATTAGAATTCTTAGAGCCTGTGGGAAGGTGCGGGTATGGGTGCTATGTGTAGAAGTACGGAGTGCGCCACGGTTCTCTAGTAGGTACGTGTACATGGTATACCGCGAAGAACTGCGAGCCGCCGAGTAGTGATAGGGACAAGTTGATATCTAATATGGTACGATGAACCAATCTCAAGCCGCGTATTTAGCGTAACAATTGTATCAATTAGTCGAGCTCACGCGCCAGTTCTCATCTGACACAGACAATGAAAGTAATGAAATAATTATTACGACCTGGGTAAAATACTACATGTTCAATATATATCTCAGACCTGTCCTTTCTCCTCGACGTAACCTTCGTCCTGTGAGGAAAAGGGTAAGTGTTAAACACCATAGACCAAAACACGAGTCCTCTATTGCATACCTTCTTCTTCTGGACGTACGTCTCGCCCACTTCCAGCATCTGTCTGCGGTAGCTATCGGATTTAAGAACTTAAATAAACGGTCAGGTACTGCTCGGACTGGATCAAAGGCAATAATAAACATACCGGAAGACTCGCGGTACAAAAGATCAATCTGTTCGAGAGAAAGTCCTTTCACTTCGGGTATGAAGAAATAGCTGCATAAATAGAAAGGGGCGATGGCCGGATCAATAATGCAATGGAGGCGGTCAGAAGGGTAGAGCTCACGTGAAGATGAAGCACCCGAGACAAGTCGAACCCCAGATGAAGAACACCTTAACACCCAGGTTAGCGGTTGCAACGCCGTTGATACCAGTGGTGGAAGGGTCGACAAGGTAAGGTGTTGCGTATCCTACAGTTGTATTTTCGTAATTAGAGGAGAAGAGTGAAGGGGAAAACGCCATCTTACCGATACCGAAGTTCCAAAGCCAGTTGCTAGCCACGCTGAGTGACATGGCCTTTGCACGGATATTGAGAGGCTAGAGACCAAGAAAATATTAGAACTAGTGTAGGTGACGTGGTTATAGATGACTTACGAAGATTTCTCCGGTGACAACCCATACAACTGGACCCCATGAGATAGCATAAAATGCAATATAACTAAGAGAAGGCAAGAGAGAAAATAAATGAGTGACCTGACAGGAATTTAGTGGTAAATTCCTTACAAGCAAACGAAAGCGATTAAGACACGCTGCGCGGGTATGTTTACAGCAGCTGTGTCTGTCCGTCCTGCTGTTACTCCGACCTATCATGGGTGAAATGAGAAAAATGGCCTCCAGTGGATGGCAGGCTACTCACGATTGCGACGATGAATTCGCAAAAACACATGCCAATAGCACCAATGAGCAGCAGGCGCCGACGGCCCACTCTGTCGATCAGTTGAACACCGACGATGGTCATTACGGTGTTTACGACGTCGGCAATGATACTAAGAAAGATGTCGGTAATATAAATGTGAGCTCCAGGTAAGAACTCACGTGATGATGAAGGCGTTGGTGATTCCGGCTGATTCAAAGAATGTCTGCGGAAATAGTTCAGGTCACCGATAATAAGCACGCGAAACTGAATGGACTGACAGTGCCGTAGTAGACTAAAGTAGGAGTAGAATGAAGGTTAGAGAGAATATCGAAGTTGGACAATGGCACGTACAGATGAAGTTGATTCCAGTCAGTTGTTGCCACTATTAAAGAGGTATGTGAGTAAAGAGTACTGGTAAGGATAACAAAGGAGAACCTACCCCTTGTAGCCAAATACCAGTCCATGTTCGGAGACCGTTTTTCGATTCATTGTTCCTGAAACAATCTAGCAGCCTCTTAGCACGAGTCTACAGGAAGGGATCAAATTACCAACCCATATACGACCCTTGCCCGATTGCGCGATCGGCTGCAAGAGCGATCGCAATCTCATCGAGTTCGAGTTCAACTTCAGGAGATTCGGGGGGCATGGTCATGAAACGGGCCAATGCTCTTCTGGCTTCATCCTCGCGGCCTTTGTGCATGAGGAACCGCGGACTTTCAGGAAGAAGGGACTAGAAGAAAACCGGATTGGTACAGCAGAAGTCCTGACAAAGGAGCTGTGGGCTTACAATGCCACCACTAAGAATAGCGGCCCATGCGAATTGTACTGCGATAGGAGTCTTGAGAAATTACGAGTAAGCCCCATAGCATGACTTGCTCGAGATACTCAACATACCCTCCAAGCAGTATAGCTCAGTTCATTTTTTGTGGCATTTAGGACGATCGCAGCAAGCAATGCTCCAATAGTAACTAAAGATAGAGAAGTAAGGAGAATACGATTATGATACAGAATAAGCACTTACTCGCAAGTTGATAAAGTCCGACAATCATTCCACGCAAACTTTTCGGTGCGCACTACATGACGTTTGAAGAGCGTCAGGCTAAGTTATTTTTGCAGGATGAACACTCACCTCGGACTGATACATAGGAATCAAACATGAGACAAGCCCCTAATGGCATCCATCGTAAGTTACGAATGAAAAGGAAAATATTAGTATTTAGAACATACCACACCGAAGCCGGCAATGACTGATGTTATTTACGCGTAAGAAAGTAATACAAAACCAGGAAAATCTGATTTGAACATACCACGTCCAACCACGAAAGTGGTCCAGTGCGTATCCAGCTGTAAGCCCACTCCAAGGCAGAAGACACCACAAGAAGCGACGATGCCCCACTTTCGCCCGACAATGTCCGCCATAGGAAACGCAAGTAGAGCTCCAAAGAAAGTTCCGGCGGAAAGGATTGACACCTGTCAGAACAATCGATCAAAGTGGCGTTAGAAAAGTAGCATTTACGTACGACGAGACTTTTATGTGCTGTAGGAAGGTAATAACCGAGGTCACCCGCTGTCGCGACACTGGGGTCATATACACCGAATGTTTCCAACCAGTTGGGCATAGCAATGACACCTCCAATGGTACCAGTATCATATCTATTGAATGTGAAGTAATGTCAATGACGAAACGACGAGCAACAGGTTCATGAAAGCGAACCCGAAGAGAATACCACCAAAAGCTGAATGCCAAGAGTATAGGTTAGTGTAAGGACTTGGGAGTATAGGAGAACAACAGTACCTGCGAAAGCGGACATGATAATCGCCCAGAATAATGAACCAGTGTTGACACCAGTCCCTGATCCTCCAGGTCCCCCAGGCATTGTAGCGATTGAAAAGGATACGGTACTAAGTGGAGAAGGGCGGACACGTCGGGGGTAGAGATGCTAGCCTTGGGGCTTTCTTAAGGGATTGAATGAAGGCCGCTTCGGCTTTTGGCGTGCACAAATCGGTTCAACAAATATCGAGCATGTGGTAAGAAAATATCCAAATTAGCAATATCAATCGTGAGATCATAGACACCATATGCTCATGGATGAGCGCTTGAGCTCTAGCCTCTCTGAAATACTTGGGTATGGACATCCCCACGTGTCCCGTAGTCAGGGCCTCCATCTTCCGTTTGACAGTTCGTCGATTGTCCTGCGATATACCGGTTGCTATTTCAAGATATACTGTGAGAATGATATGCACTAGATAACTAGCACATGATGTCAGTGTGATGGGGATACATGAATCATTGTAAGTACTGCCGAGGATAACTGGAAGTGGTAGTGGTGATGGGCCAGTATCAATATCATATATCAGTGGCTGATCCTACCTAGCAACTTCCATCAAGCTTAGTCACACATGTACCTTGCTTATATTTAGTTTTAGCCGTCTAGCCTCATGGTATTGTTTAGCGGGGTCACTTGGGGTGAGACGATGGCATGGACAGACCAGCATTCCCCACAGCACGGAACGGAACCAGACACTCACGGGGTAAACGTCAAGAACCCGCATTGAAATGAATACAGATCCCGTTATATAGCTTGTCGCATCTACTACGATGCACCTCCATCTAATCATTCACACATTGGCGCAGGGTTTAAATGGACATTTTAAATACCTCTCCATCAAGCAGGATTCTAGATGGCGAGCGCTCTAGATTGCATTTCGAATGTAGTGGCAGAATGGTAAAATATCGGCGAAACCCCCGCTGTGGCGCCCTAGGTTATCCAAAATGCTCCGCCTCCCCCTGGTATGGAAAACTGTCGCATGGTCCAACTCTGGGTAAAACATAACCTCAAGTTCCCCCTTTGCCTCCCCAGCACCATCTCCCTCTTCGTCAACCTTGTCAAACTGGAACAAAGGTATAGCTGCCACTAGTGGCGAGCCTGACCCATCTCCAGAAGAGAGTGGAGACCGAGCTCTCCCCACCCACCGCGCACTCGGCTGAAGTTCGCCAGTAAGATACCTCCGCTCGATCTCGGCGGGCACAATCTGGTCTTTTTCTGCTAGTGCCACGGCCAAATTATGACCTCCTTTACGTCCCAGTCCATCTCCATCTCCGTCGCCATTCGCCTCTTCACCATGCATGAACTGCACCAGATCATCACCCCATAAACAGCCCTGCTCCCAGAAAGATCACACGAAGTCCTTGGGATCCGGCGCAAATCGCTGGCTTCATTCTAGCGCGAAAACCCAAGTCGACTTTCCCACCGGGATTTCAACCAAGTCACCCTCTCACAATTGTTTCTCGCCCGGAACAGAAATTCACTAGGTGGTCATTGATAAGTAACATGCGTTTGATTGCGGTTAAACGTTGAGTTTCCGAACATACCGGAGCGATCGGTTGCCTACATCGGTCCCGACTACTTACAATCTGTGGGCTATCGTAGGGTCATCATTCACCACAGTGCACCACCTGCCGTCGTGGTTTCGAATACATACCAAACGGGTTAACTATTGCGCAAGGGGTGATACCTGAAACTGAGTGTTTATCTTTTATAGTTTTAGACTGACATTTAGGTTGTCTTTGCCTGAGCAGGGCGTCTTCTTTGCCCTCGCTGGAACAATTTGCCAACACCGGCGGTCTTTTAAGAAACCGGAGTGTCATTTCCAACAGGAACGATAACAACAGTACGGCCGCCTGGCGAAATGGCATCGCGTCTGACTACGATAACCAAGGAATCAGGAGATTGCAGGTTCGACCCCTGCGGTGGTCATTTTGGTCCAATTCCTCTCGGACGAGATTCTATGAGCCCCAGTATCCTACCCGGTACACCAATCCATTTTGCTTGAAGCCCGGGGCCCCGAGCTCAGAACACTCATTCGGACTGGTCAAATGGCCATACAGAAACGGTCCTTGAGTCCTGACTATACTCGACCATTGCATGTTAGGGCATGGGCGCGCTTGTAGGTTCCCAGGCACGACGTCGATGAGATTCCCAATGAAATGAGAATCTTCTCAAGGTGAGCATGGTTGATGCGAGAGATTTCCATCGACACTGAGTGACGGCGTTCCTGTAGGTTCTGCTTCTCGTACTTGAACTCGGCGGACATCATCCCGCATTAACCTTCATCTATATCTGTCACCATCCCAGCAAGTCCCTTGACTCTGACTCTCCCAAATATGCAAGGGTTACGCTACTTCGCACATGCATGTGCATTGTTGTCAACAATCAAGAACTGTTGGCCCAATATAGGTTGAGCTGTTTCCTATATCTTCTTCAGCTGCTTACTCGCCATTGTTTTCAGGGCGTTGCCGGTAGACTGGTAGACATGTTTATCGAATTCGTACTTGTATCTGTCCTCAGGCTATGCGCACGTTCCGGTCTTTCGAACTGTCAGATTCTTCGGTTGTTCCAGGCTAATTGTAGGCTGAAGCTCTCCACCTTTTCACCATTGCGAACTTGGAAGCAAATCATACAAGGACGATTCAGCGTTCTTAACATTGTGCAACCGCTGTTGTGCTTTCACTGACAGTGAGTCGCCGTATTAAACGCACTGGTAGATTCACCAACCACAAGTAGCGCTGCATATCGCTAGAGTTCCAAAGACAATTTATTCGTAAAGTAACGTGAATCAAATAAAGTCATGCGAGGATGATTACTGTCGACACGAACGCACGTGGATTTACAAATATGTGCTACACCTGATGTGAATCTCGAATATAAAGAATTTCTGGTGGTATGTGCAGAGATTATCATAAGCGTTTCAGAGAGACTCGACAAGAAGCTCGTACGGGGCCCTGTTATCCACTCTTCCTTTGATTTGCAGGGTGACACGCAATTTGCGTCGTTCAAACGCAGACTGATTCCAAACGGTAATGAGTGTCTGCACCTCGTCCCTAGGGCTTCTCCTGAACTGAGAGTCATATACGGTCCCAGTTGTTCTTGTGCCGAATATACCACGGACGGGGAGTGGTGTTATGGGAACGCGAGAACCCACTGCACTGAGTCCCTGACCCGCAAGACGAGCAGAGATTCCAAGATCCTCCAGGAAGCGGGTCCAGTCTGCCTGTTTAATGCCATGTTTCTCAAGTAGACCCGAGGGATAAAGAATGCGGAAACCATCTGCGAGGTTGTTTCCAGCGCAGGGGATTCTGAATGGAGGGAAATCATTAGATTTCACTCTTGGAGGCGACGGAGTGGAGAAGCAGCCGGGTGGAGGATCCAAGGGCTTGCGAATAACAAGAGATGAATGTTGGGAGAGATCTATAAAGTGAGGCTCCCAAATGGGCGGTGCTGTAGTAGGGGTGTATGGCGGCGGAAGATCTTCACGCTCAGTTGACATGATGGTAGTGGTCACAAAACACGTGCATCATTAGCGTGGTCTTTAGCGCAGATGGCGTTGCTTACTACTTAGCCTTACGCGCGCTTTACTCATGCAAAGTTTCTCCTGCTTGCAATGCGACCACTAGTTCTTCATGTATCTGCCCTCAATGATCTCGAATACAACTTATTTACTTCAGCTCTCAATGATCTCGCTGTTTCACCCGACCCAAACACCGTCCACAATGATGCTCACTTTGAAGCCATGTCCGTTGGCGTCCGCGAAGTCCGAGCATGGCTACGAGGCAGATATCCTAATCTACCAACTACGGATATTGACAAGGTTCGGCCATTTCTATGCCTTCTTTATATGTCCTAACCGTATGCGTCTCGCCCAGATCCTGAAACTCTTCTACCCAAACTTGCTCCACACAGATTGTCTCACTGGTGGCCAGTTTTTTGCTGCATTCAGGCTTGTCCTTCATGCTGTGTCAGGTAAACGCGTTGATAGAACTCTCGCGTTTGTCCAAGGTGTGTAACACCTTATCCTCCAGTCAGCACTGACCAGAATTAATGCACTCCAGTCCACCCAAACCCCGAAGTTCTTGAACGCTCAAGATCAAGATCAAGATCAACTTCTCCCTCAAAGCTTCTACTCAATGCTCCGCCAGTCCATCCCGACCGACCCAAACAATACGCCACATCCTCAAACTCTTCTTCTCCAGACACAAATCCCTTTCGCCAATCACTCGAATCTGAAACACAACACCCATTATCATCCGTTCCCGATCAATCTGACACCCCTCCCGTCATACCTTCCCGTTTGCAACAGAAGATCAGCCATAATCCGTTCTTGATACGCGACAAAGTCAATGGGACAGACCCTGCTCAGAAATCCCCCGAGAAGCGTAACGATGGCAAGATACCACCCCTTCCTCCTCGAAAACCAGCACCCTTTGTTTCCCAACAACGTCGCACATCATTAGCCCAGTCCCGAGGCGCACCTGGTCTGGCACCATTCGATGCTCCTCGCAGTAGCCATATCATGACTCCCTTGATGAAGCAGTCACTGGAGGCTAGCAAGCATGCTCAGAACTTGAAGCGTGTTGAAGAACAGCTGGATCGTGAGCGTGTTCTACAAGTGCTCAAGACGACGTCGTCCGGTTCCTCAGCGAGCAGCAGGCCGCGCAGCCTAAGTCCCACGAAACAGTTCCGCAAAGGACTCGAGAGTCGTTCGTCGGGATCTGAAGACACGTGCCCTGCACCTCCGCTCCCCCGTCGACGAACACCCAGCTCTCCGTCATCAACATCGAGTTCCCTGCCATCCATCGACCAAGTGGCGATTGCTAGCTTAAACACCCAGTCCTCACATACGCCCACCCTTTCCCGCCCACCACTTCCCACCAGAGAACCAACCCTTCCCGGAAACTCCCTCTTAATTACGACACCGGATGTCTCGTCTCATCTCCCCGCGCCACCAACCCACCCGGATCGCAGACCTACAAACGACACAACAGAGTCCTTCACGTCTTCCTTCATACGCCCCACGCGGTCCAAGTCACTGCGTCACACTGCAACGCCCCCACTTCCCCCTCCTCGGCGCAAGCGTCCCGAGAGCATACAGGTCATTGCAGCGTCAAGCACAACGGAGCTCCCCTCATCCGCATCCGCATTTCCTTCACACACACGAACATCCTCATCCCAAGGCCTCTCTCGCCATATCTCCTTAACGAGAGACCGCGACACCACCGACACCTCACCAATGTCCCACATCCAGAAAACTATCTCAAATCTTCAACTCAAAGCCCAACCGAAACTGGATGCGGCACGGTACAAAGCTGAGGCAGGTATCAGTCGGCGGGGGTTCGTTCACCATTCGCATGCGCCAGCGAGGTGGATGGAGGAGGGCGAGCAGGGGCTGATGACGGATACCCATCAGGAGGACGACGATGGTGCTCATGTTGATCGTGATCCGTATACGGACTCTCCTAATGACGACGAGCCGAGCTCAGGGGAAGACCTGGAGCGGATGAAGAACTCTGGAATACATCGTGAGTTTCTGAAGGAAACAGACAACCTCAAATGGCCAGCGGGCGAGGGATGGAAACCGTTGTAGCTTGATAGACAAGTTGAGCGTGTGGTCATGTGAGAAGTTTACTGATTGTATTATGTCCTGGGACCCTATAGATTACGATATGGTATTCACAAGTCATGATTCAGCAAGCAAGGGGGTATTCGTGCACTCATTACTCTTGTCGTATCTATATCGTCAACTGTCGTATCTTCATCAGGTTTCGCCGAAGTTTCGCATGTGATCTGTTATTACAAATGTTTCTATCGCTCCGTGATCCGCTGCTTAGAACAAATCCGCCCGCTTCAGGTATTCGCGCAAGATCCCGTCCCGCACTGTCAGATTGTTCCTTCATTTCAACAGGCTGCGTGAAGCACAGGAGAATACAGAAGCACGCACCAGATATTAGTGTCACAGACATACTGTCCGTATCCTATCAAGCAAATGAAGATTAACAGGACTCTCGGCCTGGAACAAGGGGAAGAACCAACAATGACGGATGTCGGGTATATATGACATACCCGCGGCTCCGGAGAGCAATACCTCACCGTGTCCTTGAACTTTTGTCGAAGGTCTAGAGGCAAGTCGTTTAATCACGCTGAAAGTTCGCGACACAGCAAGAAATATATACATTTGACAACATCATTCGTCTCATTCGGCCGGTCGCCATAGCTGGGGAGATAACGCTTCACCGTTACGCCGTTTCTGATTTTCTCCTCGAGGATGTCCATCTTGTTTAGAAAAAGGATAAGGATCGTCCGGGAGAGAAGCTTGGAGGAGCATATCGCCTTCCAGAGTATGAAGGAGTCCTCCAAACGGTTGACACGGGGGTCTTCAAGAAGTCGCTCGTCAAAACACGAGATTGGTGCGAGGAATATGACCGCATTGACTTGGTCAAAATACGGTAGCCAAGCGTGACGCTAGCAGACATCATCGGTGGTGAGCATGAATTGGAAAATCGGCGAAACACGGACTTGTGTGCGCGAGCCGCCAACATCGAAAATCTTCCATTTCGGAGTATCGGTCTCTAGAAAAATGGATTCAGAACAAAGGGGGAAAATCTCACGCTTCACTCACTGTCATCAACTATCAGGTCATGTTCCTGGATGTCAAGCGTGCGCAATCGAGCCCGGAGGACGTCGTCATCAGTTGGCTCGTAATCTCGTACCGATAATCGGTCGATTGAGTCTAAAAAGCTGCGGGTAAATGGATTCAGAGAAAGAAGGCAAGAAAGGAATATGAATAGGCTGACAAGCCAGCAGAATCCTCGAGCCGGGTCTTCCGTCTCCATAGCATGGCTTGTATATCACTATCCCTCCATAGGGCCTTGATGTCATCCTTGCCATTCGCGATCACGTCTGTGCTGTCGAGTAAAGTGGAA